AGTGATAAACTGCTGTCTGGAGCCAGGTTAGGAATGGATGGGGAGTGGGAAACAATCTGAAACTTAACAAAGAGGTGATAGAGTCATTATCAGTAAAGAACACTAGGAGAGTTGGTTCAACCTTTTATGGATGGTGGAGCATCCCCTTAAAGGAACAGCTGCAAACTTTGCAAACTTGGGGATACTTCCTTGATCCATTGCTTCCCCTGCATGTTTAAGTGGCTAGGAGTGCCTTTTATCAGTTTTGGCTGATAAACTACCTCTAGGCTTTCCTGCAGAGGGTGGACTTGTCCTCAGTCATCCATGCATCAGTTACATCCAGACTGGATTATTGTAACAATTGAATGCCTTTGAACAGAGTCTGGAAGGTGCAGTTGGTGTAACATGCCAATTCATTAATTGATGTGCTCTGGATTAAGTGGAACTGTTCCTTTTTTATTGGTAAAATGTGGTTTTAATTTTATTATTTTATATAGTTTTAAATATATATTTATTTAGGAATTTTGTACACTGCCTTGTGATGGCAGCAGTGTTCAGAAAGGTGTTTTAGAAATCTATTAGTACTAAATAAAACCAAATACATACCGGTAAATGTATTTAGGCTACATGTGGTAGTCTAGATTTTGTTTGATGCTTGAAGATCTGAACATATAACTCCAGTTGTATGTCAGCTCCATTGGTTTTCTATTTGCTTTTGAGTTCAGGTGCAGTCCTGTTCAGGTTTACTCAAATGTTAGTCCCACTGAATTCAATAGCATTTACTGTGCAAATATTGTATAATTAGGCTGCAATACTCAGAAGTAAATCCCATTGGGTTCATTGGGGCTTACTCCCTGAAAAAGATACAAGATTGAGGACTAAGTTACCTTAGAGACTGCTTGGTCCCAGGTAGGCCAGGAATCAAGTTAACATCAAGGGGCCACCTTTCCCTGGGAGCCACCTCTGAATATTTGGTATATAAATACAGTGGTACCACTGGTTATGTACTTAATTCGTTCCAGAGGTCCATTTTTAACCTGAAACTGTTCTTAACCTGAAGCACCACTTTAGCTAATGGGGCCTCCCACTGCTGCCACACCGCCACGCGCGATTTCTGTTCTCATCCTGAAGCAAAGTTCTTAACCCGTGGTACTATTTCTGGGTTAGCGGAGTCTGTAACCTGAAGCGTCTGTAACCCAAGGTACCACTGTATTCAGGACATTTTCTGTAGTGGTGCAATCTGATGCTCCTGCCAATGACATTGTAGTTCAACAGCCTTTCATTGGTAAGCAGTAGAAACTCAGCTATTGGGAGGTTAGGAAGTTAGGCACCCCCTGCCTCATGAAATCCACTACCTGCCCACAAATGCCCTGGATCTCTTAGGAGGGGGAATTTGCCACTGAGAGTTGAAATGAAGGATTTATCTTGGGAGGGTGTCCCAACACTTGTTAGTGTTTGCCACCCTGGGATATATAGCATAAAGAGTGCTATACAAATATTCTAAATAAAGTAAAATGCACCAATTATCTCCCTACTGGAGTCTTTACTTATGTTATCTTGGCTATCACAGCTTTGGAAACCTACATTTGCCAAAATATTATGTAAGGTAGTTCCTTCTGTTCTGTGCACACACAGGATTAATTCCTATTAAACTCAGCACTTTCAGCTAAATGCACAAAGGATTGGTTTGCAAGAGGTACATAACACGAAGAATTAATAACTCATTGAACTGACCACTATGGTTTTTTCCAAGTAGGTTTTTAAATCTTCTGCATAAAATAAACCAGCTGGTTATAAAGCTATTGCTTTGCCAGAAATCTAAGGATGTGTAACCAGAGGCTGAACAGAAATAATCAAGGATGAAGTGTCAGTGTAACATTATGTAAACCTACAAGGTGACATAGTATTGAAGTGATTTTTCCTTTCACTTGTAAATAAAGAAACTGGTTTGATGTTACTGCAAAATATAGGAGGTTTAACTGTAATTACTTTGCCTAAAAGTTCCTGCTGAATGTAGATACTGACATAGTTTGAGCTATTTTACAGAGTTGACAACTGCAGCTTACAAACTATTGCAGAATTTGTAATGTTACTTTAGTGAAGATAAACTCATTTTAAGGGCTATTGTTATGTTCTGTCTAATCAGAAACGACCCCAGTTAGTTCAAAGTGTGAGCTAATGCACAAGGTGCGCCTTCTGTGGAAATACCCATTGGATCAATGAAACTGATCATTGGAGGGCTATGATCCTGTAGGTACCCAGTTGCCCTATCAATACAGCTCAATATCTACCAGCTTCTAATCTACAGCAAGGCATTCTGGATGCTGGACTCCAACTCCAGCAAGCACAGTCAGTGGTCAGAGATGATGGGAGTTGTAGTTCAACATCATCTGGAGGTCAACAGGTTCCTTGTTCCTGTATTAGGGGATCTCCAGGTTTTAAAAAGCAAATTCCCAAATGAAGGGCTCAACTCAGATGCTTCAGCTGCGAAACACCCCAAGTACAAATCCTGCTATCTCTCAGCAGACCTGAGAAAGGCCTCTCAGACTGGAACCCTGTAAGGCAAATAGTCAACTCGATAGGCTAGTGGTCTGGCTCAGTATATGGCAACTTCCTATATGCCTATAGCTCACAGTTTTTTGAATGACTGCATTATTGTGAGAAATTGCATTTGATAGCATTTGCCCCTCCGGGCAGTTTTGAAAGGCACAGGAGTCTCTAATACAGCATCTGAAGTAGCCAGTATGTCTTGCCCTTAAACTAGCTTTGATATATTTTTATGAAATTAACGTTTTAATTCAGTTCATGTTTACGTGAAAGCCAGACCTATTATGTGCAATGGAACTTATATCCAGTCCTAAATATGCATAGGATTGCAGCCTGAATTATCACTTTCATTGAACATGATCATACCATGACTGCAACCCTGCTCCTGGCATTGGTTGCAGCAGAATTAAGCCTACACAGCCTTATTAAGCCACAGCAAATGATCTATTCAATATCTAAAATATTGCGGACTTACTGTCTAACCAGAAATATACAAACTATGCTTAAAGCAAAACTTCAGTATAGAATAAATCTTTCTATTAAAAGCTCAAAGTCATAAGGCTGAATGAAGTTTATAGTGTGTGTGTGTGTGTGTGTGTGTGTGTGTTTAATTACCGTAGCTATAACTTCGGTGCTGAAGAGTTTAGTCCTATATATGTTGACACATACATCACACTGTTTCCATAAGGCAAGGCTTACTGCCTAGAAAATGTGTTTAGGAGTGCCGTCTAAGCAAAAGCAATTTTGTCACTGACAACACAATTCACTGGAAATTTCCCTTATACAAGGAACATACTCTGAAATGAATGGGAAGTACAGACTAATTCAGCAGTGATGCTTAATGTTGCAATTTTACATACCTTTACTTGGGAGGAAGCCCCAGTGAATTAGGTGGAACTTAGTAAACATGTAAAGGACTGCACTGTAAGCCTTTCAACACCTTGATGCTAAACACATTGAGATCCACGAAATCAATGCACAGCATTATTTATATTATCTTTTGTGTAATTTGCTGGCTTTTGCAGAATCAGAGCCCGAAGGAAGCAACAAGAACAAATGGATGATGTGACAATACAATGTATATGAGAAATAATCATTGTGTTCTTTTGTCAGAATATGCTTTTGCTAAATATGCAGCTATAATTATGCCTGCAGGTGCAAAATAACAGTGTTATATTTGAATAGGTACACTTTTCTGCAAATGGCTAAACTTTTGCAGTGTTTCTTGAGAGTAGATGCACTTTTGTAGAATTTTCTTTGGATTATTTCCTCTTGATTTTGAAGTAATTGCAAAATTCTGACAACTGCAAAAAAGAAAAAAGTGCAATAATTTGATATTGCTTCATGGAGATTTTTAATGTGTTTTACTGGCTGTCTCTTTTTTATATTTAGGAAAAGAAAACGTGTGCAGTGTTGTGTTACAGATGGCACAGATATACGTACCAAAGAAAATAAAAGTTTCATATAATGGAACAGAGTTGCTTAATCTGTAACAGGGGTTTGAATGCATTACACAAGTATCTTTTCATGTATTTATTTCAGAGTCTGTATATGAAAACCAGTAATGTTAAAATAATTGCCAAGACACATGGTTGAAATACATAAATTATTCCTAAAGAGAAATGATGAATAACCTGATTTCGTATTTTTAAAAACTATTATTATGCTATGCCTATGGTTAGCTAAATTAGCACTGTTTCACAGTTCTTGAAGGAACTGTGGGCATTGGGCAGTTATTTGGCAAAGACTCAAAATAAATTCAATTAATGCTCCTTTTATTTTGAAATGCCCTGTTATCTGTTTATTCTAGGGAATGCTAGTTTTTCTTGATGGAAAGTCAACAATTTTGTAAAATATTTGCATCTGTGAAATGTGTCAATCCAGAAAATCTGTTAAGCCTTTAATGTGTGATCAGAGAGAATTCCTGTACTGTACAGAAAAACTGGCTACATCAGTTCCTAGTTTTGGCTTTAGAGTATTTGAAATATGCATCACCAAAAATGTAAGTTTTCCAAGAACAGTTTGAATATACATATATTATATATATATTACTTGCTCCTATATCTATTTTGAAATGCAGCAATGAAGTGCTACAATGATGTATTTGCTAACTATTTAAAAATCCAAAGGTATGTTGTTGTTTTTAAAACAACCCCAGTCCAGCATTTCTGATATTTTTATAATGTATGCACTAATAATGAATTTGATATCACATGTAGTATTCTAATTGACATTCTAGGTCTTGGATGTCTTTTATGCCAAATAGTTTAGCAGTACAGGTATGGTAGGCAATGCACTCCCACGTTATCAAATAAATGCTCAAGGTACAGCTTATAATGTTGAAAAATAGAAAAATAAATTGACCTTGATGAAGTGTGTCTTCTTTTGTCTGTTCCCAGGAAAGTTTATTTCAGGTATTTCTACTGCTGAAATGATTAGAGTTAACAGCTTTTTCCCTCCATTTTATTTTACAGGGTCTCTTCATCTTCCTGATATATGGGGTGTACAACACAGAGGTAAGTCTGCTTAGAGTATCTCAAGGCTGACAGAGTGAATGAGAGAAATGACAGGTTTCTTATCTTGATAACTGAGGGACAAAGTTGGCTTTCCATATGAGTGTCCTACTGCCCTTCATGCTTGGACTAGCTTATATGCATCCCAGCTTACCATTAAACACATACACCCTGAATAAAGGGACAGACTCATTTCTCACAGACATTGACTAATATTTTACTGCTGCTTTTAAGTTTTTGAATTCCTAGTCTCTCTCTTTAACACTTGGCTACACTCGACAGTGTTAAAACTTCCCAAAATCAGGTTGCAGTTTATATGCAGTAAAAGATGGAGTTTCTCATATTGTTTAAAAGGGGGTGGGGGTGTCATTTATATTTTCATAAAGTCTAAAGTAATAGCACTGATCAGCATGCAAATCCAGCAGGATACATTACTTGTAGCTTTTTACATATGCTATCGACTTGGGGATTTTTTTCGTTACTCCTTCATTGTTTTGTGAGCATGGCAGACAGCCTTCTGCAAGTTGATTTGATCATCTATGTTTGCAGATAAAAGAGCAGAGTTAAACCTTTCATTGCTAATCAGCTGGAGAAGTTACTTTTGAAATGCATAAGAGATTGCATAGATTCAAGATTGCACATTTTCAGCTCCTAGATATCTTTAGGATCAAAAATTTAAATTATTTCTAATGTTATTTAACTAAAGCTGGTAGATATTTTTTTTTGGGGAGGGAGAATAACTTTCAGCCAAATGTAAGTCCCACTGAATTCAACAGGACTTACTCCCAACTAAAATATGCATAGAAGCTTAATTGCTCAGCATAACAAAAATCTGTAAGCTGTTTACGTTAAAACAGTAAAAATATAACATTCAATAAAATTTCCTAAATAGGAGATAGAAACAAAATGCAACCGTATAATATCACAAATAAAACTAAGCAGTATAAAAAATAAAAATAATCCAAAACTAAAGAGTTGGAGACCAGAAAAGTTTGGATAAACTAATATGTACTTAAGAGGTTTTTAAAGGTCATTAGTGTATTCTTATGAATTTCATGAAGGGAGGCACTGCAGAGGGTGGATACTATTACTGAGAAGGCCTGCATCTGTGTTTTCATGGAACAACCAGCATGGTCTCCTTGGAAGATCTCAAAGATTGTCTTGGTCTGTACCAGGGAATCTTGGTCCCAAGCTGTTTCGGGCTTTAAAAGTCAATCACAAAACCTTGCACTGGGTTGCCAGTGCAGATCTTTCAACATCAGTATAATATGTGTCAATCTGGGTGTCCTGCTAACTATAACGGCAGCTGCACTTTGCACAGCTTTTGAACTGGGCACGAGAACACCCCACAAACTGCACATTATGTTAGTCTAATTGAGAGGTTATCAATAGTATGGACAATCACAGCAAGAATATCTCTGTTCAGGAACCGGAACAGTTGACACACCAACCAAAGTTGGTAAAATTCACCTGGACCTGTAGTGGCAGCAGTGGATCTAGAAGCACCCCCCCAAACTACACACCTCCTCCTTCAAAGAGAGTGCATCTTTTCACAACCCAGTTCCATATCTGGGATCCACTCATCCATAAGGTCTTGTCAGGACTCAGTAGCAATGTATTAGCTACCATCCAGCCCATGGCTATATCCAGGCATGCAAAACCTCTCCTAATCTGGACACAGCAATACAGAGAAATAGAGCTGGGTATCATCATCATTCTGGTGCCACCCTGGCAGCTTCATATAGTTATTAAGTAGCATTTGGAATAAAATCATGCTATGGTACCCTGTAGTTCAATTGTTAGTAGGCACAGTCTTTCAATACTACTCTCATGAACTGATGCCAGGAGTAGGAGGGAAACCACTACCCCTAATCACCAATTTAGAGGCAGTCAGGAGGACATTCAACAGGAGAATTAGTAGGGTTGCGTTACCCCATCCATCTGAAGAAAATCTCTCAGGGTGGCCAGAGCTGATTAGGTCCTAAAATGGGTGGAACCCAGACTGAAATGGGTCAAGATAATAAGTTTCAAGAGCTTCTGCAGTTGAGCCTCCAGCAACCTAGATTCTTTTTTCAGGAGTAGCCACACCAACTCCTTCAAGGCACAGGGGAACATACCATTACACTTAAGTGCAAAAAGTTTATTATATGTACCATATTTAGCAGCCAGCAGTGTTATCAACTTGAACTAGTAACTCTGGATTAGATTTTGATATAATTGCTGGTTAATGACAGAAGCCAGTGCAGAAGAGTTTTATTTATTGAAGGTATTTATATACTATGTTCCAGGCAGACCTCACAAAAGTGGCTTACGTTAAATTATAAGAACGATAAGTATCAATAACAATTATGCAATAAAAAATACACATGGGGAAAAGAAACATTTTTGTGTTTTTGCCGCTTCTATCCTGTGTTAAGGGCAAAATGGTTCTGCAGAAGTTTGGGAGGTAGAGACCACCATTTGCTAGATGGTGTCATCTCACCAAACTGTTTCTGTTTCTTCTCTCTCTCCCTTGGGGCAAGCCTTCCTGTTTATAAGTAATGTGATTAAATATAGATATCTGTGCCAGAGCCATAGTCGGAAATGTTGTGAGGGGGACTAACGTTCCATGGGATGGTGTGCAGAACATGTAGAATCTGAATACAGAATATCCAGAATCTAAATACAGGTAGCCAGTAGCCTAATAGATTACAGGCTATTTAATAACACTAGATTCAGTTTTATAACATCAAAAACTTCATCACTGCTGTTCTGCTACTGCAGTAGACTTCTGCTTGTGCAACAGAACTTTTCCCTCCCCTCCTCTCTTCTGCAGCCTCATATGCACCCTAAAAATCTGCTTCAGATGGCTGTCCCTCTGGAGCAGATATTGGGCTCTCACTGAGAGAGGAAGAGTAAGTCTTGTTGCTTGAGTAATGCCTGTGCTTTGTACTCAATTGCCAGAATACTGAAAGACAGGATTCTGTGTCTATGTCTCCCCACCCCATATCTCTATAAGGGCTAGAAACTTATTAAAATGACCACAAATACAGAGCATCACACCAGAAAATGTTGACCCTGTGGCTATGGTGCAGAAAGAGTAATATAAATATTTATATGTCATCTGAGCATAATGAATATACATCCAATTTTTTTGAGTATCAGATCTGACACAGTCTTTCATATGCCCCACATTCTTTCATACGCTTTTGTCTATAAAATTTCAAGATCTGAAAAATGCAATCACGTGAGTTTTGCTTGGCTGTGCAGATGATTAGAACATCTATCTATCTATCTATCTATCTATCTATCTATCTATCATCTATCTATCTATCATCATCTATGTATCAAATAATTGTGTTAAAATTGTTTTTAACAATTTCCTGGTGACATGTTCTAGCTTGAAACATTGGGAGTTGGTATCCTTTAGTAAAGATTGTTGATACCTACCTCAAACCTGTGTTGTCACTTTGTTGCCATTTCTCCTAATTTTACAGATGTTTAATTTGAAAGTGAAGAAGGATAAGCATATTATTTGCACAACTTGCCTCCACTCCCATCTATTGTATAGAAAGAAATTGCACCGTGAAACTGATTAACAGTGAACCCTATATGAGATTTGAGCCAGAATAATTTACAGTGCAACCCTATGCATGACAACTCAGAAGCGAGTGAGCATAGGATTTCAGCCTTGCTCTTTAAACTGCAGAACAGCTGGAAATAGAGCCTATAGATTCCCCTTTTAACCCTATTTTCATATCTATGCAACTGTGCATAGCACTGGGGTGGGGGAACCTGGCATATCTTGCTAAAGGGTTTTAATTTTCAAAATGGACCACGGCATGCTATATGCAGTTGTCTCCAAAGAAAAAGATGGAGGCAATTCATCTGTTGACTATTGGAATTTCACATCTCATATTATTTTATTTAAAAGAAGTGTGTGTTGTAGACTTGATTTGGAGACCTAAGTGGCAGGGAAACTAAGGGAACGCCTTCGGTTTCCACCCAGGTGCGCGGAAGCGGGAGATTTCACATACTTTCCACTGGCTTATCGCACTTCTATTGCCTCCATTCTTGGCACTTGCGGGCCAGAAACGCATTTCCCGGCGTATTCTCCCTTGAACCCGCGGGCAGCTCTTTTCAACATTCAAGCCGCTATCTCGCTTACTAAGCAGCCGAGGGGCGACGAAAGGTTCGCCTCCTCCCTATTTGGTTCGCCCGCCCCGCCAATTCATTCTTTATAGCTCCCGAGCTGAAATCGCACCAGGCGCACGCACACTTTTATTGGGGTGTGTGTGTTAACTTAGGTCCCACTGAACCAGCAGCGGGGCTTAACTTTCACCATGGCAGGGCTCAGAACCCAATAGGTCCCCCCCCCGAATGTGGACCCAATGCCCTAATCTGTACAGTATATCGAGAAGCGTCAACTCGCGTGTGCGCAGCGTACACACGATACTGAAAATGTGCTTATGTGACCTACGCAGCCCCGTGCCCATTGACACCCCACTGCGACCCACAGAGAAACAACTGTTATTATTCTGGTGGGGGCTGAGGGGGGTACTGGCTGGTCCCCGATGCCTCTTCTGAGTAGGTGCCACGGCGGGAAACGCGAGCCCGACCGTGAGGTAATGCGCGCGAGGGAGGGGGGGCGGGAAAAGAGCGCAAGGCAGAGAGACGCGCAAGGGGGTCCCACTCCGCGCCTCGCGCCCTTCCCGCCTTCCCCACCGCCGGCGCCGCCGCGGCTGCTACCCTGCCTGGGCAATCTTTCCCGGCATGCCCCGCGTGGGCGCATGGGCAGTGCGGGGCCTTTCCAGCGAAGAGGGGGGGCGGCTCTGCTAATTCCATTGTGGAGCGGAGACGGCGATATTTTTAACTGGAGGCGGCGGAGAAAGCGCGGCGGAGGCGGCGAGGCTGGGCCGGGTGGGGCGAGCGGCGGAACGCGAAGGAGAAGAAGAAGAAGGATGCTCCGGGCGGCGAGCGGGCGCTGAGGGAGAGAGAGGGCCGGGCCGGCCAGCCGGGCAGCGGGTGAGTGACTGCAAAGCGAGCGGGGTCTTGCGGCAAGAGCCGCCCCAGAGGGCCGCGCCTCCCCTTCGTCGCCTTCGCCCTCTTTTCCTCCTCCGCTGCTCCTTTTTTCCCACGGCCCCGAGGGGGACATGAAGCTCGGCAGCGGCTTCCTGGGAGGCGGCGGCTCTTCCTCCTCCTCCTCCTCCAAGAGGGCGGCAATGGAGCCCACCTTCCCCCCCAGCATGGTCATGTTCAACCACCGCCTGCCGCCCGTCACCAGCTTCACCCGGCCCGCCGCGCCCCCGCAGCATTGCGGGCTGGCTTTGGCCTCCGCCTCGTCCGCCAACTCATCGTCCTCGTTCCGCCGCCTCGTCGTCTTCTTCCTCCTCCTCCTCTTCCACCGCGACCACCGTAACTGCCGCCGAGCCCCCGCCCCACCCGCCGCCGCCTCCTCCTCCTCACCCTCAGGGCATGACTTTCAAGAAAGAGCCGGCGGGGGGCTTCCCTCTCACGGCCTCCTCGTCGTCGTCCCAGCGGGGCTCCTGGGGCTTCTTCCACTCGCTCATGAATATCAAGCAGGAGAAGCCCAGCGACCAGGAGGAAGAGGAGCAGCAGCAGCAGCAACAGCAGCACCACCCATCACCACCACCACCACTATGGGGGCCTCTTTGGGATAGCCGGGGAGGAGAGGCACCCCAACCTTGTTAGGCGGCGGAAGCGGAGTGGAAGGGGCCAGCCAGAGCGTGATCCAAGACCTCAGCCTCTTCCACCACCTGCACCCATCACCCCCACAGAGGAGACTTGCTGCTGGGCATCCTCGCGGTGGCGGCGAGGTGGGGTGTTGGCGGCTCGGGGAGCCCAAGGCTTGGACGCCCAGGCCAGGAAGATGAAGAGGCCAAAGTCGGAATCTCAGGGAATCAAAGCCAAGAGGAAGCCGAGCGTTTTCGTCAAGCCCTTGCGCAGGAGATTGGAGAAAGCTGGCCATGCTGTCCCCTAGCCAGAAACCTCATGTCTGTGAGCACTGCAGCGCCGCTTTCAGGAGCTCCTACCACCTGCGCAGCATGTGCTTATCCATACCGGCGAGAGGCCTTTCCAGTGTAGCAGTGCAACATGGGTTTCATTCAGAAGTTTTGCTGCAGAGGCACGAAAAGATCCACAGCAGGGAGAAGCCGTTTGGGTGCGACCAGTGCAGTATGAAGTTCATCCAGAAGTATCACATGGAGAGGCACAAGAGGACGCACAGCGGAGAAAAGCCATACAAATGTGAAACCTGCCAGCAGTATTTTTCAAGGACTGATAGACTGTTGAAGCACAGACGTACATGTGGAGAAGCCATAGGGAAAGCAGGTGCTGAATGGATCCTGGGCCATCAAACCATAGCATGGGCAACTTGTCTATGTTGTCTCAGGGAAATACAGGTTCGTCAAGGAGAAAAAGCAAAGCAAAATGTGTATCCACTGAAAACAAAGAGCATAAGCCTACTCATAAAGTATCTGACTCTCAGATTGCATCTAATATGACCTTGCAGAATTATGCGGTGGAGATTCCTATAGTGTCTTCCAGTGGTGGCTTAATTGGCACTGGGATAGAAGAACTGCAGAAAAAGGTGCCAAAATTAGTCTTTAAAAAAGGAAACAGGAAAGGTACAGACAAGAGTTTTCTTAACTTTGTGTCACCATTACCAGACCTTCTTGGTCAAAACAATTGTCTGGAAAACCAAGTGGCTCTCTTGGCATAGTCACAAATACCAGTGTGGATGCTATTGGCCTCCTTCAAGCTGCAAATAGTAAACCAGGTCAAATAAGTAGCAATTATGACGATGCCATGCAATTTTCAAAGAAAAGAAGATACTTGCAAACTGCCAGCAGTAACAGTGCCTTTTCTATAAATGTTGGGCATATGGCCTCCCAACCGTCTGTAATACAGTCTGCAGGTGTGAGCGTTATGGACAGTGAAACCCCATTATCTCTTATTGACTCATCATCTCTAAATGCTGACATCAAATCTTGCCACGATAAGTCTGGCATTCCTGATGAAGTCTTTGCAAAGTCTTTTAGAGCAGTACTCTCACAAATCAGAAGGCCAGAAGGAAGATCCCTTCAGCATTACTGAAACAGCGTGTGGACTTACATGCCTCAGGAGAGCATACAGAGATGGTCAAGAGGAGAACTTGAGCCCCAGCTCCCAAACAGCTTCAAATGACAAAGCAAACATGTTGCAAGAATACTCAAAATACCTCCAGCATGCTTTTGAAAGAACAACTAATAGCATCTGGTTTTGCTTTTGGACCCAGTTTCCAATTTGTAAGTTTGTCTTCAAGCCTTCAATAACCATACTTTGTTTCAAGACAAACAAATATACACTACATCTCCACTTGAGTGTGGTTTCAGCCAATCTGTTACCTCAGTGTTGCCATCTGCATTGTCAAAGCCTCCTTTTGGGATGTTGCTTGGATCTCAGCCAGGTTTTTATTTATCTGCTTTGGAAGCAACACATCAAACAGTTGACTCCTTCACAAGAACTAGATGATCTGATAGACTCCCAGAAGAACATAGACACTTCATCAGGCTATCAGTCCACACCTCAAAAATTGAATAGCCAGAAGGAACAAAAAAATCTAGAATCTTCATCAAGCTTTCCACTTCCTTCTCAGGAACTAGCTAACCAGATAGATCCCCAGAAGGACCTAGAGCATCGAGCAACATACCAGATAGAGACCTTTGCACAAGCATTTGGTTCTCAGTTTAAGACGGGCAGCAGGGTGCCAATGACTTTCATTGCTAACTCTAATGGGGAAGTGGACCATAGAGTAAGGACTTCAGTGTCAGATTTCTCAGGGTATACAAATATAATGTCTGATGTAAGTGAGCCATGTAGTACAAGAGTAAAGACCCCAACTAGCCAAGTTATAGGTAAAGTTCCAAGTATGACTAGGCTTGGGGGTGGTCTTAATGTATTAGTTTTATTTTGATAACACTGCCATTGGAATGTTTCTACACGATCCTAATACAAATAATGTAACACGCCCTTTCAATGCAACTTTTCATATTTAGTTTTTGTTAAAGTAATTTTAGATCAGTTTGTATTATGGTTTTTAAATCAGATTAATAGACTTGATACTTCACTTTTTTGTTGTTGTTCATGTGACAGTGTTTAGCAATCAAACTTACCTATTTAGATTTGTCAGGGAATAGCCCAAAAGTTGAAAATGCAAAAAAGGGAAAAAAGAAAGAAAAAAAAAACACAAAAAACCTTTGTTCCTAGGATTAAGGTTTATTTTAATTGCTTTACTCTCAGGAAAATGTAATGAAGCAAGGGGATTCTGTGCACTGTTGGTGTATTGGAGTTTCCAATTTACAAATAAGTGGCAAATCTACTTCACCATTTAACAAAGGGATTTTAAGACATCAGAAATTGCTGTCTCATATCTGGGTGATACAAAAATTCTGAGAACTTAGCTACCTACAGCTTGTTATAGTTGTTAACATACTTCTTTATTTCTTCTTCTAGATGATGATACTCATTCCAGACTGGTGGGATAGTCTCAGATCCTTGGTATAAGCCTGGAATGATAGCTTTAATAATAACAATAATGTCCACCCCATTTCCCCCCGAAGGCTGTAATTTTATAAAGAGATTTTAGCGGCATAATCCACAAGAGGAGTTTTTAAAGTGCCATTTTGATGTCATTGGAACCCCAATCTGAAATTTGCAGTCTTAATTTATATACTTTTTGGGAATGCATTATTTATTAAATATGGGGTTTTTTTTAAATAAAAAAAATATCCCCAATTGGCTACCAATCCCTCTCTTCCCCCTTCTTAAATATTCCTGTTTAGTGTCTTGGGTCTTTTTCCTTTTTCATCCATTTTCAATGCCAAGCTCACCCTCCATGGTTTGTGATCCTTTCCAAGTTCCTTTTAGCTCAACAGCTGGAATTTTAGAAGATTTACATTCCAGAAGATTGCATAACTTATTATGTGTTTTCTGATGTCTTGTGGCATCAAAAGTTGAACAATTTTTTAAAGGCGAATGCTCCTATTTTAGAAGGCCATAAAGGTTTTCCTTAGAAGATACGATAAGAAAAAAATACTCAGTTGTACATAAAGAGGTCCTCCAAAGTGCATTGGGATCTACTAGCTTAGTCAACCATGCCCACATGCAGTCTTGAGTATTTGGGGGGTGGGGGTGGGGTTAAGAATGACATGTGGCTAAATGATGTGTAGAAGGACAATGAGGTTGGCCTAAATGTATGGACCATGTGACCAATATGTACGTGGTTATTGTAACCAGAATCTCCAAGGAATTGTTGCTCAAATTCATGTATATTTTGTGGTACATTATTTATGATATGTGAATTTTGATTAGAGCCTGTGGAGCCACGGAAACCTATAGAAAACTTAGTGGCTATTTTAATAACTGCTAAAAAGCAGTTGCACTGCCCAGAACCACTTTTTTTTGCAGATGTATTTTTTTTTCTAATTAGTTTTTTTAATGTAATTTTGGTGATGTTTCCGCAGATTTTTAAAAATGTACTTTTGGTGATGTTTCTGTCTTGCGTACTTTCTGAAGGCAGAAAAGTACCAGTGGTTGTTTGCAGTCTTATTGTGTAATTGGCCTTTTGCAGGCTTCCATGTATAATAAAGTAATTAACATTGTACAAGTGTAAAACACTTCTGTTACGAAGATGGTGTTAAAAGAACTATGAATTCTTAAATTGTTACAAAATGTTAAAACATACCCATTTTCTCTTCCCCCTACCCACCAAATCAACCTGAACACTATTTCACCAAATGAACCACCACATTTATTACTAATGCATAATTAATTAAATCCCACTTATTAAAACTTGATATGTACTTGATTATGTATTTTCCATTCTTCAAAATAGTGCTGTTAATTTCCCCTGCCATCTAGGCATAGAGCACAACTTATCAAGGGATGGAGTGTACTTTAACCACTGTGTTGTTCTACTATGGGTTTTTTAATTTGGTTTTTTAAGTATTTTGTTCCACAGCGGTTATGGTTTTATTTTCTTTTATATTGTGTATACTGGATAGTGTGTATGTTCTGGGATTGTTTGCTTTAGACTGTGACCAATTAAAAATGCTATTCACAAAAATCTAAGGAAAGAAGATGTTGTATTATCTATCCAGTTACACCTCTGGCTTTGTTAAGAAAATTCCGTAAAATGTTTTTAAACTAAATTGCTGGAACAATAGAAGGATAACTTGCTTGCTTTTAAAGGTATTTTTATTGTAAAACTTCTTTAGGTGAACAATAAAAACACTCTTTTCGTTACTTTGAGATTTAATTTTTTTGGGGGTATTCTGTGATGTCTGGGTTGGAAATTTTCTATTTGATGATGTTGTTTTGAATTAATGACAGGTTAAATCCAACTTCTGTCCACACAACAAAACTTCCTTTTCTACTCCCTGTACCGACCCCAAATCTGCTCTGGAGGTTTGGGGGCACCCCAGAGAAGATTTGGTATAGGGGCAGGAGAGGGAGGGGAAATTCTGTTGTGTGAGCAAAAGCTATTCTGCTCACACAGTGACTTGCTTGGGAAGAAACCTAGATCAGTTCTGGCTCCATGGGAACCTGTTGAAAGTTGGGGTCTAAATCGTGGGGTTCTTCATTTGAATCTGAAGTTGGATCTTTAAGCATGTGCAACTAGGTGAAGTGGACGTACAGCCTTTCTCAGATCCAGCAACACAGAACCTACTTTTAAAATGTAAAATCCCAAAATAGGCAGGGAAGTGAAGAGCTAGATTCAGTTTCACTTGCTTCCCCAGACCCACCATAAAGCTTTTGGAGGTCTTAGTTCTTAAAAAGAGATTCCATGTCTGCAGCTTCAACTGTTTGGTGCATGCTTACATTGGATTGGTGTGCACAGGTTTAATGCCCAAATCAAGAATGATGCAACTGGTTATACATGCTCAAGAAATAGTGGACTTGTGTTTCTCAAATACACTGGGGAATTTGTTAAAAAGTTGTTTGTGATCCATGATATGGGAAGGGGGCCTACTGCACAAAGTTATTCCTAGCCTTTTTTGGTATGCCTAAAGTAGTACAGTGGTACCTCGGGTTACATATGCTTCAGGTTACATACGCTTTAGGTTACAGACTCCTCTAACCCAGAAATAGTAGCTCGGGTTAAGAACTTTGCTTCAGGATGAGAACAGAAATCGTGCTCCGGCGGCGCGGCAGCAGCAGGAGGCCCCATTAGCTAAAGTGGTGCTTCAGGTTAAGAACAGTTTCAGGTTAAGGACGGACCTCCGGAACGAATTAAGTACTTAACCCGAGGTACCACTGTACTTACTATGCCACCCAGTTTGCATTAGTCTGTATATAATAATAATAATAATAATAATAATAATAATAATGCTTTTAAAGTGCTTCACATACAGTATATTGTACTCTTTAAAAACAGCCCTCAAGGTTAGGTCAGCGTTCTATTTTTATTCAAAAATATATCCCACCTTTCCATTAAAAACGCTCAAGGTGGTTCCTATAAAATATTAAAGCAATAAAACAACAAAATAAACTTACTTTTGTATCATGTGACATAAAGAAGTAAGATTTGAACTGGGGATTCCATGTTCGATCTGGTCACTAAAATTACATCAAAGTGAAATGGTTTCTTAAAGCTAGAGTGGCTTAAAATATTTTTTCTTCAGTATGTTTGAAGTAAAGATTGTAAGTCTGGTTGCAAAAATGGCAAATGATTGCATTATTACAATCAGTGTATGCTCCAAATTCATATAAATGACTACTTTCCAGCTGTTCAGTTGTATTTCAGGATGGAGAGCTGAGCAGAGAACAAAAACAAAATTTTAGAAGAAGATTCACAAGGCTTTTGTAGGGAGCGGAAAAAAGTTTATCTGAGCTTTTGAAGAAGACTTTTTCAATAGTTATTTCTCTTCTTTCCCATTCTGTCCCATTTAGAAGATAGACTAGCTGCAGCCTAACTTTGCAGTTATAGATGGAACTAATAACTCTACAGTCTAATAACTTCACTGCACAGCTTTGTGCTTTGCTCAAAAAGTACCAGAATCAAGGGCAGAATTGCTTTAAATATTTGGATGCTACCTGAAGAGTATATAAATTAGAATAGGCTGGAAAGTAATCTAGTGTGTTCTGCCCTGAGTGAGGTTTAACATTCATTGTTTTACTGGATTTTAGCATCAGCAACCTGGTTGGTTTAAAAGAGGGCAGTCTGTAAGCAACCCAAATTGGAAATGACCTCCTAGGGCCATCAGAGAAGCAGCCCTAAACTAAAATGGTTATTAGCATTTTCACTCTTTAATGCTAAGAAAGCAGCTCATAAGAAGGCTATGACTGGCCCAACCAGTGGTCTATTCCATGGGTAGGCAAACTAGGGCCCGGGGGCCAGATCCGGCCCAATCGTCTTCTCAATCCAGCCCACGGACGGTCCGGGAATCGGCGTGTTTTTACATGAGTAGAATATGTGTGTTTATTTAAAATGCATCTCTGGGTTATTTGTGGGGCATGGGAATTCGTTCATCCCCCTCCCCAATATAGTCCGGCCCCCCAACAAGGTCTGAAGAACAGAAGACCGGCCCCCTGCTGAAAAAGTTGACTGACCCATGGCTAGTCTAATGAAGCAGTGTCTGGCAGTGGAAAAACAGATTTCTTTGTGAGCTTCACAGGCAGACAATGGTGACAATATCTATCTGGGATTCCAAAGTATTCAGTGCCTGAAAACTGGATTGCATCTCTGGCTGAGCCAATTAGGATCTTCCATGTATCCATCTGTTCCCCTTTAAAAGCTCTCTGTGTTAGATGACATTGCAACATCTAGTGGCAGTGAGTTCCTTGGTATGATTAATCACCTTCAGCCAACAACTCTGGCTTTTTATATTTTGAGAGTCTGAATAATTGTTCCCCTATTCACTCTGCAGGTTCACAAGGCATATATCGAGTCACCAGGTTAATTTTAGTTGCTACAGCTTCACTGCAATATTCTTAATGCAGCCGCACAATGACCTAATAATAATCCCTTGCATTGTTACAGTTTGTTTCATCAATTTATTTACTTGTTCTAATCAAGGCAGAATGCTGAAAATGATACAGGGTAAGTTGGAAATGGACCAAACCTTTCTGTGAATATTTTTAAAGGTTTTTGTTTGTTTTAATATTATTTAAGAGATC